AAGATAATTGCATTAGTGTTTCAAAAGCACTAGCAGTAATTGCACGCATCTTACCAAATCCTTTGTTGCGGGATTTTTCCCCAAAGTTTCCCATAATCTTTGATACATGTACCTAAAAATATTCTGTTTTTTTTAACAAAGACATCGTTTAAATCATGAATGAACAATACAAATCACATAGAAAAAGTATTGATATAAGAAGGTAACGAAGCTATGGATGTACGTCAGTATATCTGCGCTACATTTTGCCTCTTTATTTAGGTTTAAGTTTATCTTTAAAGATTATCTCACAATACTGTTCATGGTATAAGTTGTTTGATATACGTGAATTGGAGTAAGAGGTGATTAGGTTTATTGTCTAATTTAATCATATATTTGAATGCTTGTTCAGGTTTACTAAGATTCTTTCGAAATTGCATTTTACCCGGCTCCCAATTATGTAACCGTAGTCTTCATATTTACTTCATTTTCTAATCTCATCTCCCATCAGAAAGCATAAAAAGCATTACAAAAAACAATTTTCGTGTTAATATTGCAAAGAAAAAGAGTAATCTTTCATAACTTTTGCTATCACCTCATCAAGTCAATGGGGCTCATTATCACCATGACAACAATCCATAATATTCACACTTGTTTCATGATTCATGTTTCCATGGGAATTAGACAGAAACATTATCTCGGTTAATCGACGATATATTTTACCCTATATTATTCATGATTGTCGGTCATGTGGTTTATCCTTCAAATGGATATTCTAATTCCAAACCCCGCGATTCTTCAAATTGCTCATTTTCTCCACATGTTTATCCCAGTCTCTCTCAATCATTCTAGTTTTGTTGCAATCGTGATGAAATAAGCTCAACAAAAGGCGAAACTGGAACTTTTACAACGAGACAACAAGACCTCGATAACATCATGTAAACCAGAAGTCTAATCAGTCGATTTTCTCATGGAGAGAAATTAGGGACTTTTCGTTTTACACGACGAGAACGTGGACCGCCACGTGTGACATCCTTTTAAGGTAATGTGACTTCCTTTTAAGACACTGCCGGGCACGGCCCAGTACCTTCACAAAATGGCACACGCGGCAGTCCACGCTCTCGTCGTGTAAAACGAAAAGTCCCTAATGTCTCATCCCGGCCAAGCTAATTCTCAGTGCTGACTCCTGATGGAGAGGAATCATAATTGGAAGACACATACATTGTTATACGGTTAGAAAATCGATCAATCGAACTGACTCCAAGCTAGTGCGTGTAAAGAATTAGTAGATACATGTAGCATTCTCATGATAGTCATAATGAGAGCAGGGATACAAATACAAAATATATAACATCTCTTCGTCGTCATGGAAACATACATGCTTTGCGTGCAACAATTGAGTTTTTTGACATAAAGAGATCTTCTTGATACCACGCTCATCATTCACGATGGCCATTATTACATCTATTAATACGACACAACTTAAAAGATAAAATCCAGTTTGCAGGGTTGTGGAAATATAATCATATCGAGAAATTTGTATAAAACATTTGTTGTATGGATTTTTTTTAATCAGGGAGATGTTTACAACAGACATAAAAGATATTATGATAAATACAAATAAAAGGTAATGTACCGGTTCTGATTACCATGATTACAGCGAAAAGCAGTGTGCGTATTTCTATGCATTGGGAATATCCAGACAATACTACAGCAAGTAATTATTGTTAAGTATTGTCTGCAGTTTGTTCACAAGTGGAGCTTCTCGAATAAATCTATAGCCATCAACATAATAATGAAATAGTACAAAGAGCATTCACTTTAAAAGTCAGATCAAATCGTGTCTTCAGTGAAAATAAATATACAGGTAGACTGACGAGTAGTGCCCTTGTTGCTATGACAACGCCTAAATTTGATATGCCATTTATCAAACGGCTACAGGAATCACTGGATTAAAACCGGGTCAAGTACGGGCTTATAATATACACATTGTTGGTCGTATTCATTTGAGAAGAATGGGAGTTATCATTATCCTGGAATCATCATTTTATATCCCCAATTAAAAAACACAAATACTTCGCCTTGCTCAGCCACATGATGAATGTTGCATAATAAAGATTCGTTTGACGAGATCTCGTAATTTACTCCCCTGAAAAAAAACTGCGTGACCTATTCTCGAGAGGCGACCAAGATATCTGTCGATGGATGATACCTAAGCAACAATATGACTTTAACCGTGCGCATTGTATATAGTATATTTTTATATTTTTAAATATAATATCAGATGAACTAGAATCCTGTCGAAGAGAACCTGCCAGACAACGGTTGATGAGATGGAAGGTTAGTTGAGATTTTCATTAAACTCAAGTTGAAGCTTTTCACAGACAAAAGTGTCATAATTTCAGAAGTGCCTGGCTTAATTTTATGAACTTTAAATCGATGGCGCCGCATTGACTTTACAAGGTGTTGTTTGCATTTGAGTCTCGTTAACACTATCTCTGAATGACTGCAATCCCAACATCTTCTTGATTCAAGCAAAAGGTTATTGATTGGTTGTCATGACTGTCATTTAAATGAGTGCAAAGAAGCCGAGGGAGCTTCCGAAATTTATCGTCTTTTCTCGAAGATTTTGCAATCATCCTTGAGCGAATGTCGGAACATAAGCCGCAGGCATGCTCGCAATGTCGCAAACGGAATTGAAACATACATGTATTTTTAGAAGGTAAAGAGAGGTGGATTGGATAAACTGGAAATTGCCACATTCTATAGACTCGTTGCATGAACCTACTGCAAACCATGCCCAGTGTAAAGTTGATCTTTTTTTTTCTAGCCCCCCCCCCCCAATGAGAGAGGGCACAAACACCAGCTCCACTCTAGGCTTGATACGCCACGTGTTTTCATCATTATCACGTGGTGCTGCTGACGTCATCTTTTTCATCTTGTACAACGATGCCTCAACTTTTATTTGCAGCATTTTTATTCTCCTGGCATCACCGTTATTTCATCCTAATTTTGTTAAGGATTGTAGTCAAGAAAAATCAGGAATTTACCGATTTCAGTGTTTGGCATTGATTCAAGCAATGTGCCGATTATCATCACCAAGGCACCTACAAACTCTAAATACTATCGATCATGAAAGTTTGAGCAGATATGATTATAAGCTTTGA